CCCCAATTCTTTCCAGCCCTCACTCTGTTCCTCAGCCCTCGGGCGTCTTGGCAGTTTTCTCGGACTAGGTCACCAGCTGGGCAGTCTTCTTCAACTGTGGGCGGCCTGGAGCAATCCACCTTCCAGCTAGGATTTGCTCAGCTCGGTCCCCGTTTCAGCTAGGACCAGCTCAGATCTGTTCCCCTCCTTGTCGGACAGTCTAGATTTCTGACCTCAGTGTCTCCACTCAGGTGATTCTGTTCAAATCCCGTTCTATGGGATCCTGCCGACTACACCAAATTGTTGTAGAAATTTTATTTCTATTTTACTAATAATGAGACTAGACTCCAGCTCCCGTTCGAAGCAGTTTATTTTCTTACTTGGTACCAAGGAAAGTGAGTGTCGATCTCCACTGACACCCGACTCTGCTAACACAGAGTATAACAATCTCATTTATACCATTAACTTCAGAGCAGGGTGCTCCCGTGACACCTTGTGTTTGTTGATTCATTCATTGTAAGTTTAAAGAAAACAGACACTGTTCGAGATGACAGGAATGCTGTCTTACAGATACCTTAATAATTACTTCTTCAAATGACCTTCGGCATGCAGCTAACATAGGGAGTGATATACAGTTTGATTGAAACTCTAGCTTATCGGTAACTAGGCTCCACAGGGATACGAGGGACATCTCTAATTCAGCCTAAAACCTTGGTATAGTGAGAATACATCAAAAGATCCTCCTCTAACTCTAGCTAAGATAACATACACATAGTGATAACACAGTCTGAGTAACTACCTCCTGACTTCTGCTAAGCTCATTAAAATCCCACACTGCAATGCTGCAGTGTTCCAGCAAAGCCCAACGCAAGCTGGAGGAACAACACCTCATTTTCCACTTAGGGAACCTACAGACCTCCTCAATATTGAGTTCAATCATCTTAGGGCTTAAACTCCCAGCCCCTCTACCCCACACACCAGGCCTTGTTACCACATACCCCCTATTGTTCATCACTAACAGCCCCCATTAACAACAATTCACCCTCCCAGCCTGATTGTTAGCGACTCCTTTGTCTGTCAACCGTCTTTCTCTCTCTTTGGGCTCTATCCTGTCGTTTGCTCCCTACCCCACCCACCTCCCTAATTTTCTGCATATAAACTGATATTTTCCCAGCCACCATCAGTTCTGAGGAAGGGTCACTGGACCTGAAACGATAACTCTGTTTTCACCTTCACAGATGCTGCCAGACCTGCTGAGCTTTTCCAGCAACTTTGTTTTTGTTCCTGTAGCATCTATACCCTGGAACATTAAGCTGCTAATCCTGACCATTCCCAGAGCCATGTCTGTGTAATTGCTATGATATCCCAGTCCTATGTTCCTAACCATTGCTCTGAGTTCATCTGCCTTACCTGTGAGGCTTCTTGGATTAAAATAAACGCAGTTTCATTTATCAGTCCGACCTCTGTCTCTGCTTTGTTCCTTCCTGTCCTGATTGTTTGACTCGCTCCTTTTCCCAACTGTACCAGTTTCAGACTGATCTCTCACCTCACTATCTCTCTGGGTCCCACCCCAGCCCCCTCCTTACCAGTTTAAATCCTCCCAAACAGCTCAAACAAATCTCCCCACCAGTACATTAGTCCAGGTGCAACCTGTACTTCTTATGCAGGTCACCTCTATCCCAGAAGACATTCCAATGATCCAAAAATATGAATCCTTCTCCCCTGCACCAGCTCCTCAGCTGTGCATTCATCTGCTCTATCCTTGTATTCCTAACCTCACTAGCTAGTGGCACCTGGAGTAATCCAGATACCTTCGAGGACCTCCTTTTTAAATTCCCACATTCTCTCCTCAGAACCACATCCTTCTTTCTTCCTATGTCATTAGTTCCAATATGTATAATTACCTTCTGTTTGTCCCTCTCCCCTTTGAGGATATTCTGCATCCTCTCCGAGATATCATTGATCCTGGCACCAGAGAGGTAACACACCATTCTGATGTCTCATTGTTAGCCACAGAAATGTCTGTGTGTGCCTCTGACTAGAGAGTCCCCAATCACAATCGATCGCTTGGAACCTGACATACCCCTCGTTACATTAGAGTCAGTCTCGCTACCAAAAACCTGGCATTTCTCATTCCTCTAACAGTCCGTCACCAAAACAGCATCCTTGTTTGAGATGGGGATAACCATAGGATATTCCTGCAGACTTGCCTCCTTCTCCTACCTTTCCTAAGGGTAACCCATCTACCTGAATCTATCTTTGGTTTATCTCCCTCCCTGCAACTGCCATCCATCACACACCCTAGCTCCTGCAAATTCCTCATTGCCTCGAACTGCCGCTCCAACCAATCCATACAATCCAATAGGATTTGCAACCAAACATACTTCCTGCACAAATAACCATCACTAACATGGAAACTCTCCCTAATCTCCCACATCCGACAGGAAGAGCGCATCACTCTACTAAAGACCATCTTTACACATTAACTATCTGCAGACCCAGAAGATAGCCCAGTCTTACTGCTCTAAAAACACTCCAGGCTAACTTAGTACCTATGTTTTATTTTTAAAATTTAATCAAAAGTCCAATCTCAATAAAACATATAATCAAAAAGGAATCCACTATACTCACTGTTGTAGATTTACACTTGATGAGCTTTCCCAGCAATTTCTGTTTTTGTTTCTGATTTCCAGCATCCACAGTTCTTTTGGTTTTCACTCAGAGAGATTTTTAATCAAGAAAGAAATCAAGGGAATCACAGGGGCAGAAAGACAGGAAAGCGGAGTTGAGAATGATCAGATCAGCCACAATGGCAAAGATGAGATTACAGCATACTTGGAAGTGCATGGTATATAGGGCTGAGTCAGCACAGCTTCGTAAAGGGGAGGTCATGCGTGACAAATCTGTTGGAATTCTGTGAGGAGGTAATGAGCAAGTTAGACAAAGGAGAGCCAGTGGACATGATCTATTTGGATTTCCCGAAAGCCTCTGGCAGAGTACCACACAGGAGGCTGCGAATTAAAATAAGAGCCCATGGTGTGAGTGGTAAAGTACTGGCATGGACAGAGAATTAACTGACTGGCAGAAGGCAGAGATGGGGAGAAAGAAGTCTTTTTCAGGATGGCAGCCAGCGACTAGCGGAATCCCACAGGGGTCAGTGTTAGGACCACAACTGTTCAGCATTTTTGATATGAACGAAGGAACTGGGGGCATTGTTGCTCAGTTTGCAGATGACACAAAGATCAATGGAGGGACAGGTAGTGTTGAGGAAGTGGGACAGGCTGCGAAAGTGGATGACAAAATGGCAGATGGAATACAATGTAGAAAACAATGAGGTTATGCACTTTGGCAGGAAGAATAGATGCCTAGACTATTTTCTAACTGGGGAAGGCTTCAGAAATCTGAAGCACAAAGATACTTTGGAGTCTGGGTTTGGGATTCTCTTAAGGTTCAAATGCAGCTTCAGTGGCAGTTAGGAAGGCAATATAATGTTAGCATTCATTTCAAGAGGGCCAGCATATAAGGGCAGGAATGTACTACTGAGATTGTATAGAACTCTGGTCAGATTTCATTTGGAATATTGTGAGCAGTTTTGGGCCCTATAACTAAGGAAGAACTAAGGAGGGGGTCCAAAGCAGGTTTACCAAGAATGATCCCAGGGATGAAGGGCATGTCATATGAGGAGTGGTTGAGGACTCTGGGTCTGTACTCAATGGAGTTTAGAAGGAAAAAGAGGGATCACATTGAAACATACAGAAAAATGAAAGGCGTGGATGGAGTGGACATGGAGAAGATGTTTCCACTAATGGAAGCGATATGGAGCCAAGGGCACAGCCTCAGAGTGAAGGGATGACCCTTCAGAACTTTAGATGAGGAGGAATTTCTTTAGCCAGTGGGTGACAAATCTGTGGAACTCATTTCCACAGAGGGCTGTTAAGGCCAAGTCATTGAGTATCTTTAAAACAGAGACAGACAGGTTCTTGATTGGTAAGGGGATCAAGGGTTATGGGAGAAGGCAGGAGAATGGGATTGAGAAACATATTAGTCATGATTGAATGGTGGGATAGATTTTATGGGCCAAATGGCCCAAATCTGCTTTTTTATCTTATGGCCTTATCTAAATGAACAGCAGATGAAACTTGATGGGCTGAATGGGCTAATTCTGCTCCTACCACTAAGGCCTAATATAAAAGCTATGTCTGATATTTGCACATAAAGAGAGCATTGGCTTGCCAGACTAAAGTATCTCATTAGAGAGATAACTGGCAGTGATTTAACCTGAGGGTCACCATGCTTCAGATGAGGGGAGAGGTTGAGAAGGCAAGTCTTTCATGGTAAGATCAGCTGGTGTGGGAATTGAACCCACACTATTGGTTTCATTCTGTGTTGCAAGCAAAGAGTCACTGAACCACTTCAACATGGAAAGAGGCCATTCAGCCACTGAAATGTATTGACTGTCCAAAGAGATTCCATTCAGACCCAGACCCCCATCTATCCCCACATTTACCATGGCTAATCCCCCTCGCCTGCACATTCCTGGACACTACAGGGCAATTTAGCATGGCCGATCCACCTAAATTGCACATCTTCGGACTGTGGGAGGACACCAGAACATCCAACAGAAATGCACACAGACACAGGGAGATCGCGCAAACGCCGTACACTCAGATGCCCGAGGGTGAAGTTGAATCCTGGGTCCCTGGAGCTGTGAGGCAGCAGCGCTAACCACAGAGCCACTGTGCCACCCTACGTTAAGCATCCCCATGAGGCACCTAAGCCTTTTTGATTTGCTTGGTTCCCTTGGCTGTATTAAAGCTGGTGAGCCTTGTAGATTGTCTATTTCACATTGTGTTCTGTTCAGGAATAAACTGGAAAAACATGATGACAGGTCAAGAATGCTCTTTTGGCCCTTTAGTAACAACTTGACTTGTGCTGACATGGTGCACACGTAGAAACTACGTAGAACATGATATATTGCAGTACCATCACAGTTTCTGTTGCAACAAGCTCGTCACATCCGTTCACTTCAACCAGTCAGGAAGGCAAGCAGGAAAGGAATCCTGGTGGGGGGGATTTGAAACATCATGTGGAATTTTCTGTGGAAAATGCTTTCTTTCCCTGTTTTTTTCGGGATTGGTGAGTAAATGCCTCTACTTTTTGGGACTTTAATTCCTCGAGGATGTATGTCTGGATGATAAATTATAATATGTCGTTTATTTTAAATTGAGGAACTACATTGACAGAGTGTGACTTGCAGCATTTTTCTTTTCAGGAACGCATTCAATTGCATTCACACGAGCATGGAAACTAAAACATGCAAGTAACCACTTTGGTGTAAAAGGCAGCGTAATTCACTGCTTATAATGAAAAATGATCTATTTATATTCTTGAAATTAGAAAGTCAGAAGTCGGTGCCACAATTTGCATAGATGAATAGAGCAGAAATGTTATCTTTTGGATTCATTTCTGGGGTATTGGCGTGGCTGGCTGGGCCAGTACCTCCTGGAGATAGCCATTGCCTGGCTCTTGTCTGGTGCAAATATTACTTGCCAGTTGACAGCCCAAGCCTGGATGTTGTGCAGATTTTGTTGCATTTGAACACGGACTGCTTCAGTATCTGAGGAATGGCAAATGGTGCTGAACATCTGACCTTATGAGGGAGGGATGGTCAAATTGATGACCCAAAACGTTAACTCTGTTTTTCCAATCATAGATGCTGCCAGACCTGCTGAGCTTTTCCAGCAACTTTGTTTTTGTTCCTGATTTACAGCATTGCAGTTCTTTCGGTTTTTATCCTGACTATTAAGGATTTCCTTTAGTTCATCCTTCATGCTTGACCCTCTGTCCCCTAGCATTTCCTGAAGATTATTTGTATCCTCCTTCGTGAAGGCAGATCCAAAGTATTTGTTCAATGGTCTGTCATCTCTTTGTTGTCCGTTATGAATAAGTTTCTTCACTGTCCACGATGCCACCAATTTGGCGTCATCCACAAACCGACTAATCATGCGTCCTATACTCTCATCCAAATCTTTTGTATAAATGACAAAACAACATTCTTGTTACTTTGATGAGCAGGAACAGTTTCTCCCTATTGACTCTGTCCGGCCCCTGCTCACAGTTTTGAAAACCCCTATCTGATCTCTGTCTCCCAGCCTTCTCCTCTCCCAGGGAGAACACTCTCCACCTTCTTCAATCAAGCCTCATTGCTGAAGTTTCTCATCCCTGGAACCATTCTTGTAAATCACTTCTGTACTCTTTCTCTCTTTCTCTCTCTCTGAACTGTTCACATCTTTCCTATAATGTGGCACCCAAAACTGCACACAATACTCCAGCTGAGATCTAACAAGTGTCTTGTACAAAGGAAGTCTTTTTCTGTGTTAAGAGGAGTGGTTGGCTGGCTTGGGTGGTTGGTTTGCAATGTAGTGTGATGCTAATAGTGTGGGTTCAATTCTGGCACCAGCTGTGGTTAACCATGAAGGACTCTGCTTCACAACCTCCCTTCCCACCTGAAGCATGGTGACCCTCAGGTTAAACCACCACCAGTCATGTCTCTCTCTCTCTCTTACTCTTTCTAATGAGAGAGCAGCACTCTGATCAGGTAAAACCATGGCAACTTTATCTTTTATATGTTAAGAGGCATCCTATTCCTCTGAATAGGAATTCTGAGCGAGAGCAAACAACAGTACAGCACAGGAACAGGCCCTTCAGCCCACTATGTCTGTGCCAACCCATGACACCTTTCTAAACTGAAAACCTTTTGCTTCTTGGCCGTTATGCCTCTATTCCCTGCCTGGTCATATATCTATTTAAATGCCTCTTAAATATTGCTATTTTATTCACCTCCACCACCTCCTCTAGCAGTGCATTCCAGAAACTTACTACCCTTGCCTTTCACATTTCCTTTAAACTTTCCGCCCTTTTCCCTTAAACCTATGTCTGAGAAAAGCCTCCAACTATCCGTTCTGTCCATGCATCTCACAATTTTGTAAACTTTTATCAGGTCGCCTCTCAGCCTCCAACGTTCAAGTATAAACAAACCAAGTTTGTTCAATCTCTCCTCATTGCTAATACTCTCCAAACCAGGCAACATCCTGGTAAACCTCTTCTGATACCCCTCCAAAGCCGTTATATCCCTCTGGTAGTGAGGTGATCAGAACTGTACACAAACATTCCAAATGTTGCCTAACTGATGTTCCACACAGCTGCAACATGACTTGCTAAGCTTTATACTCTATGGCCCGACTGATGAAGGCCCGCATGCCATATGCCTTTTTGACCACCTTACCCACTTGTGTTGCCACTTTCGGCGAACTGTGAACCTGTACACCTCGATCCCCCTGTATGTTGATGCTACTAAGGGTTTTGCCATTTACTGTATACTTCCCTCCTGCATTATGTCTCCCAAAATGCATCAGCTCGCATTTGTCAAGATTAAGTTCCATTTACCATTTCTCCACCCAAAGTCTCCTGCTTATCTCCTCCGGCAATCCCACTCACTATCACTTAGTCTGATGCCATAGGAAACTCAAGACAGCAAATTGTTTTCTTCCCACCTCTCTGTTTGCCGAACTTAAATGCTGCACATTATTATAAAAACCAAAAGAACTACGGATGCAGTAAATCAGAAACAAAACCCGAGGAAGTGTCACTGGACCCAAAACGCAAACTTTAATTTCTCTTCACAGATGCTGCCAGACCTGCTGAGCTTTTCCAGCAACTTCTGTTTTTGTGCTGCATATGATTGGCTTTCTGATCGTCCCAGAAGTTTTGTGTTGTTGGCAACAAGGGCAGTTTGCAGGTTCAGTAGATGTGGGTACTTGAGTATCATCAATACAGCTTTAATGGTACTGCAGCTAATATAAACCATAAGCCCATAAGAAATAGGTACAGGAGTAGACCATTTGGCCCCTCAAGACTGCTCTGCCATTCAGTAGGATCATGGCTGATCCAGCATTCCTCACACCTCACTTTCCTGGCCTTTCCCATGATTCCCCGACTAATCAAGAATCTATCTGTCTCAGCCTTAAATATATACAAGGATTCTGTGAACCCCCATCCCCACCCTTCACCACACACTGTGGCAAGGAGATTCAAAGACTCACAACACTCTGAGAGAAGAAATTCCTCCTCATCTCAGTCTTCAATTGGCATCCCCTTATTCTGAGACTCTGCCCTGTGATCCTAGACTCTCCCATGAGGGGGAATCATTCTCCCAGCATTGACCTTGTCAAGCCCCTATGTGTTTCAATGAGATCACCTCTCATTCTTCTAACCTCCAGTGAGTAGAGTCCCAATCTGATGAACCTTTGCTCATAAGACAATCCTTCCCTCCTGGGGATCTTGCAAATAATAAGCCTGCCGATTACTGGATTGTACAGGTAGTACAATTTTTCACTACATGAGCAAACAGGTTGAAAATAACTGAGCTAAATCTCTTACTCTCAGCTGTTGGGCTTTGCTGATTAACTTAGCTTTGATATAATTCTCTCATCACTAGCTTGTACAAAGCAGTACGCTACTCTCATAGATAACACTTTGTCTCTCACACACTCTTTCTCTCACACAACATATAGACTCCACTCTCTCTTACAAAACACATACTCTCTATCTCACACATGCACACGCACACTCTCTCTCATGCTTTCTTACACTTTCTTTCTCTCTCTCACAGTGTCTCACAGATACACACACGCTCTCACACACTCTCTCAAATGCACACTCCATCCCTCACACACTGTCTCCCATCTGTCTCTCACACACACTCTCTCACACTTTCTCACATGCATATACGTTCTGTCTTTCCCATATACACACTGTCTCTCACACTTTCATCACATTCTCTCCCAAACACTCTTTCTCTCACATTCTCACACATTCTCTCACACAAAACTTTCTTAGACACACACATACACACTGTCTCTCTCTTTCTATCTCTCTCATACACATACATACATACACACGCTGTCTTTCTCTCTCACACACACACACATACACACACAGTCTCTCTCCCTCTCACACATACATACATTCTCTCCCACACAAACACACATAGAAACATAGAAAATACATTCAGGAGTAGGCCATTCAGCCCTTTGAGCCTGTGCCACCATTCAATCCAATCATTGGCTGATCATGCAATCTCAGTATCACATTCCCACAGCAGTACATTGACTCCTCTCTCGCTCACACACATACACAAAACAGACACACACACATGTGCACACTGTCTCTCATGCTCTCTTATATTCTCTCATACACTCTTGAACAGATAGACACACACTCTGTCACATATTCACCCTCTGTCTCTCACATACACACTCTCGCATACACACTCTCTCATGCTCTCTCACATTGACGCACACTCTCTTTTTCTCTCACACACACACACTCTCGCACACACACTCTCTCTAACACATACATACACTGTCTCTTTCTCGTGCACACTTAGCTAGATTTAGAATGAGTACAAAACCTTACTCTAGTCCTACCTATTATTTTTTAATTATCATTTCTTTTTCCTCCTCTATAGTTCATCTTCGTGGTCTGGTCAGACAGGAAGATGTATGTAAGTGTGCATCTTTGAAATGAAATTTTGCTCATATTATGCTCATGTTTTAACCCTTGTATAGTTAGTTACCAGAAAAATTTCTTAGGGCTCTCTTGAACTAATGTGTGACAGTCATTGGTGTGCAGTTTCCAGAAAATGGTTCTGAATGATTTTCTTCTCTCAAGTGAGCCTTACATTTTTTTGTTGTAGTGTTGATTGGGTTATATTCTAGTTTTGATTATTGCATACACTGTTAGAAAACAGAAAAAGACAGCTGAATCAAATCAGCCTTCCTACCTCTGTATTAGCAAGACAGTAAAATTAAAACCTTCAAAGACCTATGAAATTGACCCCAATGACTTCTAATCAGGCACTTCGACTCTGAAAATAATCAATTTTAGACACCGTTTACGCAGCTTAAACAAAAGACTTAGTGAATTATTAATAACATTGTAGCTTAAGCACAGCAGAAGTTAAACAACAAAATAATTGATGTCTATGATTTGGTGGTGGTCAGTTAGCTCAGCTGGTTAAAGTGTGGCACTAATAGTGCCAAGGTCAGCGTTTCGATCCCCATACTGATCAAGTGCATTGGATTCGAGCTACGAGTTGCACGTTTTGTGCTCGGGCTGGAGGCTTGTGTGGCATTCTCTGCTTTTAAAAAAGGGGCGGCGCGGTGGCCCAGTGGCCCAGTGGTTAGCACTGCTGCCTCACAGCACCAGGGACCCAGGTTCAATTCTACCCTCAGGCGACTGTCTGTGTAGAATTTGTGCATTCTCCCCATGTCTGCATGGATTTCCTCCAGGTGCTCCAGTTTCCTCTCACAGTCCAAAAAATGTGCAGGTTAGGTGGATTGGCCATGCTAAATTGTCCATAGTATTCAGGGATGTGTAGATTAGGTGGGTTATAGCAGAATGGGTCTGGGTGGGGTGCTCTGAGGGTCAGTGTGGACTTGTTGGTCTGAAGGGCCTGTTTCCACATTGTAGGGATTCTATTCTATTCATGATTTAAACCTAATGACCTTTGTTTCCAGCACCGTTAGATACTAGACAGACAGACATACTCAGTTAAGGGAGAAATAAAAGAAAATAAACAAACTGATCAGCTCACTTAAACAGTTTTCATGGTGCATTGTTCCACAGGAATATCTGATTGTCTTGTGGTTGATTTTCTGAAGATGTCTGTCAGTGCCACCTTTTCCAGCTCACTCTTCAGAAAACCAAAAGAACTGCGGATGCTGTAAATCAGGAACAAAAACAAAGTTGCTGGAAAAGCTCAGCAGGTCTGGCAGCATCTGT